CACCATGGTGAAGAGAAGCAGTTGTGAAATGAGTGACATGGTTGTTAAGAATGCTGCATGGGCATAAATGTGAGGATAGTCATAAGTGTGAGGACCAGTCAAAAGTGTGAGGACCTGTCAGAAATGACTTTTTTCAGCCCTCTGAGTAGTCCCTATACACATAGCCATGGCCACCCGGTCACATGAGCAGCTAGCCACACCCACCCAGTCACATGACCTCCAAGCCACGCCCACAAAATAAGCCACGCCCACAGAGCTGGTAGTAAAAAATTTTAGAACTCACCCCTGATCCACATCCATCCTTCTGACTTTCCATAAGGGTCTGAAGACCTGGTTCTGCCGGTTCAATGTATCATGCCACAAGTGCTGATGATTAAAACAAGACCACCTTCCCCTATGTGCATCTTGCTCCCTTCTTTCCCATCGTTTAATTGTAAATCATTGTTATTAAGATTATTTATTGCTTCAATGTTTTATTGGCTTTTAATATTTGTAAGCTGCCCAGAACCACTTCTTAGTGAGATGGTCAGCAAACAAATCAAATAAATAAATAAAATTTGAAAATAACCAGGCACAAACTTGTAACAGTTCTTGGTAGCAGAATTTCAGTTAATGTAATCAAATTTCTTAACAAAAATTATATTTTAAAAAGAGTGAAAAAGAATTTGTGCCCAATTCAATGAAAGTTGTACAATGCTAAGTAATTAACAAAGAAATGGCAGAGATATACAAACCCTAATTTATTTCCTAAAAGAAGTCTGTGTGTGGGCATGTGTATGCACATGCAAGCAAATACAGGGAACCAAATGAAAGGAACTGAATTATGGCAATTAGAAGAACAGAATGTTGCAGGCTAAAAAGCAGAATTGAAGCTTGAGAATGACAGAAACATTATCAGTTAATATATATTTACTTTGAGCTTAATCTTTAAGACAAGATGAACTGTATGATAAGGTGCTCAATTGCTTTCCATTGGCCATTGTGACACAGAATGCTGGACTATGGGGACCTATGCTTACATTTCAAAGGGAAAATGCTAAATTTGAAATACTATCTTGCCAGAAATTAGACTTAGGTTGGTAGTTTAGAAAAAGAAAACAAAATTATTCAATTGCTTATTCTACTATCAGAAAAGATAAAAGAGTTATCAAATCCAAAATTAATTTTAAAATGTATTATTATAAAGGAAGCACAGTACTTCACAGTACTTACAACAACTAGTTAAACTAGCATAAAACTTACTGATTTTTTCCCAGATCCACAGTTTTAAATAATGTAATAATCTGCTCTCAGGAAACTATCTGCTATCCAGTAGTGTGTGTGGAGGAAGCGTCATTAACAAAAGGAAAAAGGCAAAGCAAGCAGATTACATATAGGCAATAGCAGGATAGACAATCTTGAAGAAATATCTTGAAGCAAATTCTAACTGATTTGATAAGTTAGCACAATCATCATATTACTCAAAACCAGTTCTTATCTACTGTCAAGATAAATATGTCTATTCAGTGTACAAATGTAAGGAATCCTCAGAAAACCAACATACATATATTTATGTAATTTATTAATTACATGAAAATTAGTTAAATTAATATGTATAGTGGATAAATATATAGTCTGCTCTTGTTTGTAGCAAAGTACCTTTTTCTTTTTGCAGAACTGCCCATTATCGTTGTCCCTTTTTTATAGACTAGAAATGCACTTTATTCACTCTTTCAAGTGTTTTGGTTGTTTTGCTTGGAATATTTCCTTAACAAAAGTAGAAAAGGGACATTTGAGAAAATCGACAGAATATCTCCACTAATTAGAACTCTGATTATTGTTACTTTAACTGTTATTTTAGTTGATTTGCATATTCCACATTTAATTTTACTTGTACACACTTAAACAGAAATATAAAACTTGTCTTACTTTTAGCTCTATCATACCATAAATAATGATGCCATCAAAACCTCAGCTCAAGACTGTCGGTTGACACAGCACATTTCAGACACAGGAAACAAGTGTCCGCATTTCCTGTGCTGAATTCTTCCTGTTCGTGGGCTCCGAGAGGAGCCAAAGCTGCCCTGCAGGGGCGGTGAAGCAAAGAGGGGCACCCTGAGAGATCGAGGAGAGTCACAGGTCTCCTGTCGGTCCCAGGTCTCCTGTCGGTCCCAGGGTTCTTTCTCCCTCTCAGCCACAGCAAGAAGAAGAGGCAGCGAAAGATGACTGCTACAAAGCTGGGACAACCAATGAACATCTAAGACGTGCTGGAATTGGTAAACCAATCCTCCTTAACATGTTCTTTTTAATTTTGTTTTGTGCCTTAACATAATCATTTTGAATTAATATAAAATTCACATTTGTCGTAATGATATCCAAGTATTTTATTTTTTCTCAATTTTAAAACAAGTTTTCATCAGTTCTATTTGATTTTCTAATTTCATATTTTTGTTAATAATTTTATCTTTTGACTATTAATCTTAAAAAAATGGTTAACATACCAAAGTCCCTGAATTTTTAGTAATTCTTCTACAATTTACACAAAATCATCCACAAATGCCTTATAATCCAGAGTTAGATTTTGGAAGTCAATACTTGTGGTGCCCAATATGCAATTCTCTTCAGTCTTGTAGCATTTGTTTGATCTCATCTATCATTGTCACTTCCATTTGTATTTCTTCCAGTTCATCTTTAAATTTTTCCAAAAACTTTGCTTTCTCCAGAATTAAATCTGAATCTCTGTTGTTTAAAAATAAAAATCACCCCTTCCAATTTATCCTGTCTAGATGAAATTTCCATTGCTCCCTGCCAGCTTCCCACAAGCAGAGTCAATGGGAAGCCATTGGAAATAAGTAGTTACTCTCACTCCCACTGCTTTTTTGCCATCCTATAATCATTCTGATTATCTGTATAGGTAAGTAAACATTGACTTATTACTGAAGTTAATTTGCCACTATGGTTTTTTTTTCTATTTATGATAAATAGTTTTCTTAGATGATCATGGGACTGCCCAATGGATTATCTAATTTACATTTAAAATCTGCAGATATTTTCTGAAGATACCAATATTTTCACAAAATCTTAAACATCTTTCTGTGGATAGTTTACTGGATTCAATAAAGTGTATTCCCTAGTACATTTTGTTCATTATACTTCATTTCTGCTTTTCTGTTTTAAATGGCCAATACTTGCTTTAAATGTTGTGACTAGAGTTCTCCTTTTTTATTTTATCCTTTTTCTTCTTCCTTTGACTTTGTTTGCTTAACATAATAATCCAAGAGCAACAAAATGAACTGTAACCAAAGTAATAATTGAGATTAATAAACTTTTATCTTGTTGCTTGACTTCAGCAGAACAAGATGAACAATGCCAAACAACATAATCTGCTCTTGAAGCACATTTTGTGCACATTTTTTCAGTGCCTGAAACAAAGCCAAAGATACTGAGTTTAAGCATAATAAATGAGTTACATAGGGAAAAAGAAAACCATAAAAATAAGTTCTTACAGAGGTCATACTAAATTATAGAACACAGAAAAAAGATATTGATTTCATACGCTGCTTTTTTATTTATATTTTTATTGCATGAAGTCATAAAAATGGTTTTGATAAAATTGATTACAATTTGTACATACTTTTACAAAACTGACATATCTAAGAAAATCACAAATCAAATGTGGATTAAATCGTAAGGGTTGGATGCAGATTTAATATTAAGGATTTATAGTCAACCTCTGAAGTGAGTGGTGTGATAGCCTAGAAGTAAAGACCAGTGGTGGATTGCCCCCAGTTTGCACCGGTTCTATAGAACCGGTAGTAAAATCGGCAGGAGGCTCCGCCCACCGACCCCAACATCATCAGAACGCTTCTGCGTGTGCAAAGTAGTAAAGGTAAGTAAAACCCACCCCTGGTAAAGACACTTGCCTCCCACTTGGAAGGTTGAAAGTTCAATCCTAAACCGTAACAGATGTTTCCCTATCAGGGCACAATCTGATGCCAACTCTGCTTAGGTGTCAGGAAGGGCAACTCCATCTAAAAGGGAATAAAGGACTGTAAAAATAATAGTAGACCTCTGATGTGCAAGTTAACATGTTCAAGTTCCAGTTTATTTTAATGAGTAATATAAGTAAGTCAATCCATGGTAATTCATACTATCTATAAAAACAGTACAACTATTCCATCTTTTCTCCGCTAATGTTGTTTCTTGAGAGAAAATGATGGAAGTGGAGACAAAAAACAGAAGGCTACAATTGGAGGATGAATATATGAGCTTTTTGTGAATGAATCAAGTTGATCACATATTCCAACCAGTTACCTGCCTTTTTTTTCAGGAATGGCTATTCACACTATTCTTCTCCAAATCCTGTCAGTATTCTATGCTCAGCATGCTCAGTCCCCTCCTTCACTTCTGTTTTGTTTTCCCTAAATATTTGTTGTGCTTTGCAAATGTGCCAGGTATTTAGGGGATTCTCAGAGATCTCATGGGCCCTGAAATCAATTCAGTTGGTTTCTATACTACAACCTTATGATCAGTTTTACATTCTTCTAATCTAGTGGTGCTCACCATACCTTGTGACCATTAATCCCATAATTTATTTGTGTAAGGATTATCTATTAGTTCTTTGTCTTCAATCCATTTACGGCGGCCATACCAAGAGTTTGCTAATTCTGTTTGTGCTTCCAAACGAACAGAAGATCCTTCATATCCTATCGTTGCTATCAAAACCAATACATGCATGAGAGAAAACGGTAGCGTATACCCATATTCCAATCTGAGCCTTTGATTATTGGACACAATCTGAATGGATCACCCTGCTAATATTTTTCAGTTATCAAGAGTACCTCAGATAACTAGGATTGTCAAATCAGAGCTGCAAAAGTCCAGACGACCCCTTGCTGGCAGCAGAGAAATAGAGCTGCGTCCTGTATCACCACCTGAAAGCCTTGGCAGATGGGGGTGGGATCTAATATTGGGCAAAGCCCTGCACGAAAGGCACAGCAACTTGCTGTGCTGTGCCTTTAAAATGTGTCACAAGACGCCTTTAAAATGTGGCTTCTCTCGCATCCCCCGCGTTCAGCGTCGTCCACGAACAGCATGGGGAGCTCCAGCACTGCCGTGACCTGGGAAGGTGAAGGCGGACAGGAAGCTCCGCACGGGGGCGTTTCGGCGTGAGATTTCTGTTTTTCCCAAGTGGGACGTGGGCACCCGCAGAGACGCCTCTGCCGTAGATGCCGCACGTCGGCGGCTGACTGGTCACGCTGGCGGAGGCAGCAGCAGCAAACCGATGGGGAGGGGGGGAATCGCCGTTCCTGCGCTCCCCTCCTCCTCCCCCTCCTCGCGTGTCCTCCGAGGCAGCCTTCTTCTTGCTCGAGCCACTCCCTCCCGCTGCAGGGCGGAGTGTAAGGGTGCCTTTAAATTGGGTGCGAGGGAGCTGCTGCCTGCTCAGTCTCATCTGTGATGTAAGGAGAGGTTTTAGGTGTCTAAGCCGATCGCCTGACTTCGCCTGTCATTTTCTGCCGGGCACCCTTTCTCTCTGCCACTCCGCCGCTGGGTAGATGTGCCCTTAAACCACTTCCGCCGCCGAGCAGTAGTTGGCCCGGACCTCGTCTCTGTCCGTCTGCCCAGCTTGACCTGCTGGTGCGCGCTCCGCTCCGTGCTCTCCCGGGTGCGCAGGCATGGAAGAAAAGGAGGAGTGCAGGGTGCTCTCCATCCAGAGCCATGTCGTCCGGGGCTACGTGGGCAACAAGGCGGCGACTTTCCCCCTACAGGTAGGTGGAAGAGCTGAGCCGGCTACTCACGCGCACCCGAAGCTTCCGCCGAGCGGGAGGCGAGCTGTCTCGCGTCTGCAGCGCCGGGCAAGCCTGGAGGAGCGCGGAGTGCACGTGCCGGGCTGTGACGCCGTCAAGGGATCTGCTCGCTGTTGCCCTCAAGAACTCGCCTCTCGCTGTTCAGGGGGAGCTGCCAAGTTTATACGTGCAGATGCACTCTTCTCTTTAAGGCGAGGTTTTGATGGGGTGACTTGAGAAGCCCTTGATGGCCCAAATGTCAGGCCGCGGGTCTCTGAAAGGAGATGTCCAAAAGCCTTTCACGCTTGGTTTTATTGTATATAGTAACGCCGCTTGTTTTTGTAGCGGTTGCCTTCCGAGTTTTTTTTTTTTTTTTTTAATGCCAACATTCCCTTTATTCCAAAGCAAACAGAGTGAGGTTCAAGGAGCGTGATAGAGTAAGAAGAGAAAAGAAGTGGGCCTCTCTTTATTGTAGGGATCGTTAGAAATTGCCCGTGGTGGACTTAGTTGACCCGTATGATTCCTTTATATTTTATGGAGCGGTAGAAAAAAAGAATGGGAAATGTATTAATTAGGGCACCTTGAAGACTTGCCAGGATATGTCATCAAATTCTAGGGAATGTAATGAGTGATACTTTGAAGACTTCCTCTTTTTAAAATTAATATATTTATGTCATTCCACTTTATTCACTATCATCAAGTTTAGTTTGTTCTTTTTTCAAGGTTAGGCTGTTTGGTGGCATCATCTTAAAATGCTTTTAATAATAAAACAGGTAGACTATACTACATGTTCACTTTCTGGTGTTTTAGATTATTTTAATATCTCTTGAACATTGGCTATTCTAGCTGTGACTTAGGGGGGTTGTAATACAAAGCACCTTTTGTTGCTCTCTGCTCTAATCCGTTTATTATGGCACAATAAATTGTACCCCTTTCTGCATTGCAAATGAAACTAACTGATCTGTTTCTACAGAAGAAAATAAACAGGACAAAAATCTAATTTCACAAATGGATATATTCAAGAATTAGTTTTTTAGAAAAGCCTTTTACTTTCCATGACACTCTGCCACTTTATCAAGGCAGTCATTCATGAGCAGCATTTTTATTAACATGTACTGCTTTCATTTTGAAATACACTACAATTCGTGAAGCAGTTCAGCTTTTATCTCCTGAAACTCATAAAAAAAAACCTTCGATATGTATGTGATTTTACTTTCTTTAATAAGCTCACTATTACAAGGAGCTATTCCATGAATCATGACAATTAGGTAAATTATCAGAAAGTATTGTACATTTCATTTTCTATTTTTATCTTCTTGAGTTCTATCCGTTACCTAATTTGGGGTGGGGGTGGTTTGACTCAAGTTAATGTTTTAATTTCTGGTAGCTAAAATCCAGAAAAGTTTGTACCAAGTAAATATGTTCACCTTTAAGGTGCCATGACATCTTTAGTTTTTGCTGCAACAGACTGATGTGATTACCTCTCTGGAAAATGTAGATATGCTAGAAAAAACTATTCCCCAATTAAAATACTGTGTGGTTTTTTATGTAACTAAATTAATCATTGTTGCAACTGAAGCATTGATTTCTGTACATGAAATTGGATTTGAAATACATATTGCACAGCACATGGACAGACTTAGCCATAGTTTCAACTGGGAAACTGAAAATTGTAGACCAAACTAAGTCCAAAAATGCTAGAAAGTTTCTGGAAGCCTGGCATTCAGAAATAAACCATCAGCAGGCACATACAGATAAACAACATTTACACATCATTCAACACCAAGATAAACAGGGTTAACACTAGGATTAATACCAGACCAACAATTGAGCAGTACATAATACCCCAATCAAGGAACTACCAACTCAGTTATTTATTCAAACGGTAAACAATAATCTAATCAAGGAACTATCAAGAAGAAAACACTCCCACCAATACTGATAGGGCAAGCCAGTATATATAAACAGAGAGTTATGTAGATGTTATCTAGTTGAAGATGTTATCTAGTTGGATAATGAAACGTCTGCAAGAAAAGAACAAAGTTCAGAGAACACCAAGGACTCACGTATATATTTTGTATACTTTTGAGGGGAAATGGGAAATTGTTTTGCAATATTATTTCATACCATTTTTCAAATTTGAATTACATTTCTTGAAATATGTGGAAGAGTGTTTTTATGTGACACAGAAGAAAAATAAAACAGTAAAATCTATATTCTTCACTTTTTATAGTTTACATATTCAGAATGGAGAAAAATATTCTGATAATAAAACGTAAAAAAATATTTTATATGTAGAATGGGGGTGTCAAACTCAAGGCCCAGGGGCTGGCTCCGGCCCACGGGGTGCTTAGATCTGGCCCACAGGGCCACTCTGGAAACAGCAAAGCACTGGCCCGCAGTGCCTCTGCCAGCAAAAATGGAGCATGCGAGGGCCACAGGCAGCCCTCCCGAGCTCCATTTTCACTGGCAGAGGGTTGCAGGAGGCTGTCGCAGCCGAAAACGGAGCTCGGAAGCCTGTTTTCTCTGGCAGAGCACTGGGGTCACCACAGGCACCCCCAACACGAGTGATGTCGAGCTGGCCACGCCCATCCTGGCCATACCCATCCCAGCCCCCGAGGTCAAACACAACCTTGATGTGGCCCTCAATGAAATCAAGTTTGACACCCCTGATATAGAATGTTTTTAAATTATCCAAGATTAAATGTCCTAAAAAATGTAGTAGCCTAAAATGCGACTGTTGACTAGCAACAATACATAAATGTCTGACTTATTATCTATGTCCCTACTGTGTTTCCCTGAAAATAAGACCCTGTCTTATATTTTTTTGAACCCTGAAATACGCGTTTGGCCTTATTGCCATGTACTCAAAAGCCCGATTGGGCTTTTTTTGGGGGCTTTAATTGATATGCCGCCCTTCTCCAGAGATTCAGGGTGGCTTATAATGTGTTAAGCAATAGCCTTCATACTTTTGTATATTTATACAAAGTCATCTTATTGCCCACACAATCTGGGTCCTCATTTCACCTACCTTTGAAAGGATGGAAGGCTGAGTCAACCTTGAGCCTGGTGAGATTTGAACTTGCAGTAATTGCAAGCAGCAGATGTTAATCTGTTAATAACAGTGCTTTAGTCCACTGTACTACAGGCTCTTATTATCGGGGAATGTCTTATGGGGGGGAGGGGAAACAGGGTATGTATTGGTTGTCAGGGGAAAGCCTAGAAAACAATTCCTGTTCTGCCATTTTAGTAGCTTTTTATGATAGAAAGGTAATAATATAGCAAAATAACAAATAGTATGGTATGAAAACTGTATTGCTGGTAAAAGTGCAGGAAGCAAAATAATATTTGGATTATGATAAATAGTTTATCTTGTTTGTTGACATTTTCCTGCCCTGCCCCACGTCCCCTTTTGTTGTTACCTAAGCACGGGCAGCTTGGACTACTAAGCTTTGAAGCATATGTCTGCTGGACAGAAGATATTCCATATTCCTCTCTGGTTTTCAATACCAGTCACTGGAGTATTAGAAAGCGGTATGTAATTATCTATGCCATTATGCTGCCTTTTACAAAGCAATTTTGTAGAAATATAAGAAACCAGTATGTTTTCTACTGCAGACATAAACACATAATTCTACTGTCTATAGAATAGTACAAGTAATCCTCGGTCAGTGACTGCCATGTTTAGTGACAGTTTGCCCTTACAATGGTGATGAAAAAGTAACTTTTATGACCAATCTTCACATTTATGACCTTTGCAGGTCTGTAAAGCAAAGGAAAGCTGTATTAAGATCATAAGCACAGTTGCGATTTCACCTAGCAACCAATTCACTTAACAACCAAGTTGCTGGTCCCAATTGTGGTTCCTAAACAAGAATTATCTGCATTTGTTTTTATATCTCTTGGAAGGTTGTCTTTGGTTTCATTGAAAATAAGTTGTGTAAAAACCAGTTGTTGAGTTGTTACTAAGGCTGGATCACATGCTAAGAATATCACATTGCATAGTCCTCTGCGAACTATGTACTATAAAATGGTGAAGTGGCTATCAGTTTGATTAGCTTCAAAGAAGGGTTGGACCAATTCATGGAAGTCATGGAGATGGCTGGCTACTGGTATTAATCATGTTAGTAATGTGATTGCCTTTGAAAGTATCTGCTGGTAGACTAGTGGACTTCCTTGTGCAGTTGGTTTGCCACTGGGAGAATAGTCTGCTGGACTAGATGGGCCATTGGTCCAATTCAGCAGGGTACTGCTTATGTTCTTATGTTAAGTTTATAGGTTAGGATACTACCTGTATCCTACATGTCTAAATTTCCTTCTGTATTCAGCCTTTATATTGTAAAGGAGGATCTTCAGCTAGCCTGTTAAGACATGTTGGGCACAGGCGTTAAAAATAACACATAAGCAAATAAAACATTGCATTGGATTTTTCAGCATTTTGCATTGATCTACAATTACACAGCATTATTGATATACTTGAGCGATTCTTCTAGAGAATAAAAGTGAAAGGTTGTCATAATTCATTGAATTCATTGGTGTAATTGAACAGGCATGGGGAGCAGAATTCAGAAAAAAGAAACTCTTATTTAGCTAACCAACAATAAAAGCCCTGCTGATCATTTAACAGAATGTTTCTCCAGTTGTAGCATGTAATTGTGGAATTCTCTTCCCAGAGAGATCAGCCTGGTTCTTTTTCTCACTTAGTACTGAAAATTTTCTACAGGCATCAAAATTTAAATTAATTCCATATTCTTTTCCTTGATGTGAGAATTTGTCAATCAAAACAGAATATGAAAATATTAAAAGATGTGGAGTTTATTCAACATATTTATAACTGAACTTTAGCAAATAGAATGGATCCTTTCTAACAACGGATCATTTAAAGTAGCAGTTATGATATGCAAGGATAGACAAAATAAAAATGGAAATATGCACCAGAAACTGCATTTTATAAAGCATAGCAGCTATAATATCTTGAAAAC